TTAGTTCTTATTTTGTTTTGATTTGGGACTTGACGATTTTGTTCTTGTAATACATCACTTTGTGACTATTCATTTGTTTCTTATTCTTACTTTATGTTCTTCAATTTCTTGCATCTTAATATGATAAATTTATTTTAATTATTTCTAATGTCGTATAGTCTATATCATGGTAACACTTTGACATTTTCTCCCTATAAGGGTGCATTTTCAAGTGTTGTGCATGTCCATCTCTTCAAAGGTGCATATGGGTGGGATAAATACTATGACCCGAAATTATCATAATTTTTCCACCATGTTAGAAAAAATGTGGTGTACTTAGTTTTGGCAATCTTAAGTTCATTTCCTTACCAAGCTAAGAAAATTGCGTATGGATGTCGTACGAGAAAATATACATATACAAGATTTTCCAACCGCATAAAAAAATGTATATGGGTCTTTATATTTCTTTGGCTAGGAATTATGATTGAAGGGTATATAACATTAATATTATCAACATTCTCCTGTAGACCAAGCAAAACAAAGTTTGGAGGACCCGACCTCCAGACAACCTAGAGTTTGCTTTCCTCACCCGATTTAGACAGATGTTGTTTCAATTCATTTATAGATTTAATAACAAGGCAACTCATGATTATAACAAACTAGCTTTAGAGGATAATTTTTTTTTGCATAAACATGAATTACTTACTCTTTTCCATTTTTCTTAGGGTTGATAAATCACATTATGTACATGCATAGGTGCATTTTGCTTTTGTACTTCTGTACTTTTGTACTTCTTTTTTTCTTAGTTTGAATATAAATTTTAAGTTTTAAGGGTATTCTTTTTTCTATGGCGATTTGATAAGTTTGAGTTTGCATTTTATCTTATGTGGGCAAGGCCTACAACGCCGAGACGATAGATGCACGAGATCGAAACATCCAAAATTTCATTTTATTAAAAAATAAAATAATAGTAAATATCTCTCTCTCTCTCTCTCTCTCTCTCTCTCTCTCTCTCTCTCTCTCTCTCTCTCTCTCTCTCTCTCTCTCTCTCTCTCTCTCTCTCTCTCTCTCTCTCTCTCTCTCTCTATATATATATATATATATATATATATATTTATATGCTGATTTTTCCTAGAGAAGGTTAGAGAGGGATATCTTTCTCTCAGTGAAAGGGAGAGAATGTGAGATAGAGACAGAGGTGAAGGGGGTTTTCTTTTTATTTAGAAAGAGATACATGAAAGAGATGGGGCGGAGAGTTGACTAGAGGAAAGTTCTCTTTGTTTAGACGGAAGTATGAGAGAAAGTGGTCGCTATTGCTTATTAGGGCTTAAAATTTTTGGAGTCAAGTTGCTGACAAGGAAGAAATAGGGGGAGGGTTGTTGGGTTGTAGACATGTAAGCTAAAAGGGAGGTTGTCTAGAGGTTTTAGCTGCATGAGCATGAGTTTAAGGAAGAAAGGGTTGTGCATGCGGCTGGGCTTGAGCAGGTCTAGCAGGTTCAAGTCATTATTCCAGAGAGGAAGAGGACAGGGGAAAGAGGGAACACCTGCCCAATGATGGTTATTGTGTGTGTGAGGATGAGAACTCAGATCTAGGGGTCACCGACAATGGGTTGTGAAGGAGGGGGCTTCGGGTGCTATTGCACTTTGGCTGTGATCCCTGGGATCTAGTTTAGGATGCCATGGATCATTCTGTTTAGTTTTCTTTTATTTCATTGAAGATTCTAGCTGTCATATTTTTTTTTCTATATGTTCACAGAAACTTCTCTAGAAAGGGTTTCTTTGGTTGGTTCCGGCTGACTTCTACAGATCATTGTGTTTTTTATGATTCTTGGCATATATTCATACTCACCACACTTTTAAAATATTTGATTCTTTTTTTCTTGGAGTCGTGTCAAAACCTTAGATAAAAAAAGAAGGGTGAGAAGTGAAAGGCAGAGAGGAAATCTGAAAGAGAAAAGGGGAAAAATTCATTATCAGCTTGATGAACAGTATTACAGAAAATTATGGCCTAGAATTGTTTAAACAAGGATCCCTTCGTGACCCCCTTTTTATAGGTAGGTATTTGAGTTCAAGTTTGTAAAATGTATAATAGGCATATAGTGTAAGAACTCAGATTTGGGCTGTTTGTTAGCCATCTGTTTGAGATAAAGTCATTGGTTATGAAATTTGTCAAGCAGCTCTCCACATTTCGATGAGTTTCTGGGCTGAACCGGTTCGATGAGTTCAAAGTAAGTCTAGCGCGATCATAAGCTTTGTGAATGTGTTCCTTTTAGTTGACTTATGAGTCTCTCTCGATTCTGGCAAATAAGTGCCTCAAACCTGGCTTAGTGAGTTCTTCTGAATCCGCTTGGTGTGTCCATCTCCAGTTAACGAGTTCTCCCTCTCCCAAGGGATATGGCTAGCAGATCCAACCTGAACATGGACTTGGTCTCGACTAGCAAATGTGTCTCCTTATCTTTCACTAAGGTGAGCTTGCCTTCACGGTATACAATTGGGATATGCTTAATTTCTCTTGTTTTCCTAATTCAATATATTGAATTATCTTTAATCAATGTCCATTCTTTTCACTATTCCTCTCATTATGCTATAATGATTAGTATAATCAAGGCTCTTTGTGCCACTAAAAACATGTTTTCTGTCCAATGCATACTTGATTTTGCTAACTTTAAATCAAGGAAATAATTATTATGGGCATCTATGAAATTCTGGCTTCCTGATAACCTTAGCCTACGAGAAGTGACATACTATGCTTTTCATGTTAGGGATAGCAGTGCTATTGTAGGATTTTTGAATTGTCAAACAGTTTCTTTGAATAGAAACACGAGATTTTGGCAGCAAAGTACACTCATTTTGGGGAAAATAACTTGCAGAGAATGGTTGAGGCTTAAAGAGAATTCTGGACCATTTGATAGAACAGGTTATTCTACATAGTAAGCTAAAACTCTTAGGGCATCAAAATGGATTATCAATTGTTGAATTTCTTTCTCTAATCATAGCGAAAAACTTTAGTAAGCTAAAACTCTTAGGGCATCAAAATGGATTATTAATTGTTGAATTTCTTCTCTAATCATAATGAAAAAACTTTAGACACATGGATCGAGACTGTACCTTTAGATTTGTCTCTTTATGACATGCAGATTGTAATTCGTGTGCATTCTTCAAAGATTGCCGACCTCTATTTATTTTTCTCTCCTTTTTGGTTTTATTTTTATTTTTTGATGCCTTAGGGAGATATATATTAATCTCCTCTATGGTACAAGGAAAAGTGGATATTCTTGAGAGGTTTTTTTTGTTACTTATTTTCTACATGATATCAGAGTAAGATTAGGGTGTTCCTTCCAACATTTTTTCTTATTCTCTAAGGTTTGGGTTTCCACTTCCAACTTTTCTTCTTATTGTCTAAGGTTTGGATTTTAATTTTTAATCTTTGTTCTTATTCTCTAGGTTAGGGTTTCTTACTTCCAACCTTTGCTCTTATTCTCTAATGTTAAGGATTCCACTTCCAACATTGTCCCTCTTACCAAATTCTCCTTCTATTCACTTTGTCGGGTTCTTTGACTTACCTTCAAAAGAATTGACCATGATTAATGATGAAAATCAAACCAAAGGAGAACTCTAGGTATTTCAAGCATCTTATCGCTTGCATGAGAGAGAATATCTTCAATGGTCCCAAATCATGAAGACATTTCTAATGAGAAAGAAAAAGATCCAACACTTTGTGGATCTACGTTTGGAGCCCAAAACTCTCACAGTTGTTACTTTGGGAAGAAATTGATTCTATGATCATGACATGGTTGTGGTACACAATGCAATCGAAAATTAGTATTTTTTTTATATTTTTCTATCAACAAGAATATGTTTCGGACTTACTAAATAAAAGCAATATGACAGAGTGTAAGCTGTGTGAAACTCCAATTGAACCAGGATAAAACTTGGATTTTGATGAAATAATTGATATAAATATAAGACAAAAGCAAAGGAATATAACTGACCAATATATTCATCAAAAAGAGTATACAACCCAACATTTAAACATATCATAAGTAAACATAGAAAGATGGATATCTACCATCCAGTTTGAGGGAGAGTGTAGAATTTCTTTACCAATTATAGCAAAGAACTTAAGGCATACGGATCAAGGCTCTTTATTGTTGGAGTTGTTTTCTTATGTCCCTCGTATGGTAAAAAACTTAAGGCACATGAATCCATGCTCTATATTTCAGATTTGTCTCTTCATGACCATCAGATTGTAATTTGTGAGCCCTCCGAAATAATCGTTGGCCCCAATTTATTTTTCTTTATTTTTGGTTTTATTCCTATTTTGTAATGCTTTTGGGAACTGTATATATATCTCCCTACTTGTACAAAGAAAAATGAATGACTCTTGAGAGTTTTTTCCATTGCTTTATTTTCTACAACTATTATTCTATAAAAGAAGAGAAGATGATGAAGATAGACTAGGGAAGACTTGAAATGCTATCTGTACGATTAGAAGCAGTGCCCATGCTAGGCTTCTTAAATATTCTAAAATTATCAAATTTTTTACTTGACCAAATCTTATCAGGTTACAGTTTAATGCCAAGGCATCTACTGTTTGAATATAGTAGGTAATTTACAAATCAAAATTTAGCACTTTTTTGTTTTAAATTGTGAAGCCCAATGTTCTGTTGTTACTCGTATCTGCATATCATGAATGACTGGAAGAAAAGCCAGACACTTTACATGAAACACTGAAATTAGATAGTTTAGATATCCAACAAAATTGTCAGATATACCTCTATATAGTCTATAACAAATGAAACAATGGTATAATTTATTATGCTTAGCTTGAGGAAGATATGAAACCTTTCCAATTAATAACCATTTTTGTTGTTTTCAAATTAAAATTTCTGATGAAACTACTGAGTTTTCAAATTTTCCAAACATGAAATGACAGTATGTAGTACCAATTCATCTACTTTCTGAATACCTGCTCCATAGGTGCCACTCGAACTAAGCAGCTTCGTTTTTTTTTGTTGTAGGCAGCCTGAATCCCAATATTTTATTGGAGCTCTTCTCTACATATCGTGAATGGCAGACTGAAAAAGCCAAGAAAATCAGTCAGAAGCAGGTATTTTATATGCATAAAACTTTATTATTTTCAGAATCAATCTCTTGATCATAGGTGCTCAAAGTATCACACTCAAAATCATCTCCGTGACCTTTCTCTCTCCTCTTTATTGATTGGGCACCATAGGAAAACAATTGATTACAGGCGGAAAAATCACACTGGGCAAGAGCCTGTATTTCAGCCAACAATCGAAATTTCTGGCTGATAGCTGTCAGCTGGAAAATTGCTTGTTGGAAATGCTTTTTCGGCTGAATGTATTCTGCTGCTAGGGATTTAACGGTGGAATTGTGGCTATATTTCAGCTAGTAATCCGACTGGCTGCATTTTCCATCGATATATTATTGATGGCCATTAAACCTACCGGCTGGTTGTCCCACCGCTAATAATCGGTTGTTTTTTCAACTGGTAATAATATACTGGCAGAAAATTTAACCGGAAACCTGCATTAGAGCAAGAAAAAATAACCGAGGCCCTAGCAAACAAATGTAATACACCTACAATCGCAGAACAAAACAAATAACAAACATATCCTCATCATCTCAAAACAGTGTAAAAGTACACTCAGACTTTAATAAATGAAATCATAACAAATATAACAATAAATATCAATAAATCATAAAAAATCATCCACTAAAATATATCTATGGAATAAATAAAAATAATACAATAATGTTCTACACATATAAAAATAAAAAATTATCTGATCTCTTTCTCCTCGTCGATCATAGGTTGCTTGTCAGACATATTTGCCTGGCACTGCAACTGCTCAAGCATGGTCTCAAGCCTCTTGAAGTTGGCATCCTTGGCTTACTCTGTCACATTCAGCCTGAACTCTATCTCACGTAGATTAAAAGTAAAGTTGGTCGCATCAACTGATGGCGACCTCTGACTAGAATTGGAGTGTTGTGCCTAGTAAACAAATCCTTATGCCCTGAGACCGTAGACTACCCCTTCTTCCCCCCGCTTCCCCACCCCAACCCCCCACACCCTCCTGCATGCAAATTCTTTCAATATCTCAAAGTCTGAGTAGTTAGACTGACCATTACTCATTATACCGAAGATTGTAAGAGTAATTAGCATTGAAGTAAGATTGTAAATAAATTATAGAAATAAAAAAAAAATATTCAACTTACATGGACACCTCGAGATGTGTCATTGACTCACCACTGATCAGACTGATGTTGATGCGTGCAGGCGTGCAACTCAGCGGCAGTGGACTCCGTCTCAATGTCTACCTATATTAACATATAAAAATGTTAGAAAAAAATAATTATAGAAATTAATTTAATACATTGAATAAATCTTATCTTTCTTCTATACTAGGTATATGGGACCAATGCTCAGGTGCGTAAAGCGGTTCACATGCCCCCGCAATCCAAGCTTCGGTTGTGCTATGTCGTTTGCTTCTTTTTCGGAGATACTCAGGAGAAGCCAAAACACTGGGCAACTTGGCTCATACATCCTCCCCCAATTTAGATGGGCCTCTGTTCTTTGCAGAGAACAGTGAAAATATCTCGCAAGTAAGTCTGCCCTCGGGTATCAAAGATCCTTGAGATATGTTGATGATGATGAGCATCCCACTAGTAGTCTTTCTGTAAAATAATTATAAAGTAATATTAGTTATTTTAAAAATATAACTTATGATTATAATTGTAATTCAAACTTATTTAATTTTATATCAAGTTATATGTCCCGAATCTCTATCGGGATTTTCTTTCATAATAAATACTGAGCATCATAACTACACTTGATGATCTTCGTTATCCTGTGGACGAGCTACCTAGATGGCTAATAACTGCAGAAAAATGAGATTAGTTTTATAATATAATAGAAAACTAATTTCAATTATTGTAATTTAAATTACTTGTGAATTTTCATTCAAGTTGATGAACAACTGCCTGAGGTGTCCACCACAGCAAGCTCGACATAAACGGTGGCAGGAGCTCTAGGGGCGTGAAAGGCTTATGTAACCGAAGGTGGAGCAACGGGTCTGATGGACACCAGTGTGGCGGTTGTAGTGTTGATCGTCATAGTCATGCTTATCTATACGGTGGCTGCGAAATTGCCTGTTTCTTACTTTTATAATCCGATGATTGTCATAGTCATGCTTTTCTATACGAGGTTCTTTATCATCACTGCCACCTAAAGCTATCTGTAATAAGGATAAAGAAATTTATCCGAATAATTATAAGCATAAACTAATAGAAATAAAAATAAGAAATAATTGAAGTAAAAGCATAAAACAATAAAATAAAATCAGAAAATAATAGAAGTGAAAACCTGAAATAACAAAAGTAAATGCATTAAAATAAAAACAGAAAATAACTAATGTAAATACTAGAAACGTTAAACAGATAATGCAAAAAATAGAACTTAGAACTATAAGTAAAAGTAGAAAAAAATTGAAAATTAAAACTACACACCCATCTTCATCGAACGAGTGAGTAGAGGTTGTACTTAAAATTTTCTTATTTATATCATCATTAGAATTATTCACAAGACGACTAACTTTATCATTTGCACTAGTAACATCCGTTAATATAATCCATTGTTCAATAAAATTATGGGAAATATAACTAGGTTTAGTCTTGATGACGACTACGCATTCAACTTTATCTCTTTCTCTAGCAGGGTTTCTTATGTAATATATCTGATTGGTTTGACCAGTTAGAATGAATGGATCAAATTCCGCATATCATCTGTTTAAGAATGAATGAATCAAATTTGGCATATCTTAAGAGATGTCATATGGTTGATATGTCTTGTTCCTCGATTTGGAACATAATCAAATCAGTCACGATTGAATAGAAGTACACTGTGTTTAATAGAGCCCAGAAATTGCAACTACATTATTTTTTGGAAAAATTTCATAATAGTCTTATCTCATTATCGAAATGAGTACTTTTAAGACAAATATAATCATTATTTTGTATTATTCTTTGGATCAGGAAGTCGTGTGAAAGTTATAGTGATTCACATCAAATATTAGCCACATTTTCACATTGTGATTAGGTCCCTAAGCAAAATTTATTTAGACGTGGTCCGTAATTTTAATAATATTGATTCTAATCGAACTTTATAGTTATATCATTTTTAAATCAACAATTTACTTTATACATTACGTTTCTTGCTTGAATGGTTTCGCATGCATGAACATTTCGCAAGTCATACTAATAGGGCCATCATATTAAGAACTTTTTGTTGATTAGCGCATCATATTTTCATGTACTGAGCAGGAGCACTCTTTATTCTCCAATCTGACTGGCCAAGAATAAATTTCTATGCTTAAATGGTTATCTACAATGGTTAGGATGTTAGAGGCTCCCCTAACCCAGACGGAGTATAACTCCTTTGTGGGATGGTTTGGCTTTGTAGCTAGATCTTTCTTTTCCTGTCATTATAGTGGCATCCATGCCATTTTCTTGGCAGGTATAAGTCCCATTTCTGTCAATTCCATCCGAGTAAGGAAATAGAGAATCAATTGTTTCTTTCTCTTGACTTTAGGGCAATTGGGTTTTCTTAGGCAGCGCAACACATGGGTGAACTACCTGCACGACTAAGTAGATTTAGAGTCTCAATAGCTTAGGATGACGACTTTATGAAATCTTGACCCGACAATCTTTACCAGCTTAGGATTTCCTCACATTTTATTCATATACCCCTTTTAAGCTCATTCTATTTCTTTGACGCATCATTGATGTAGTTTCATAGGCTCTGATTGCTGATAGGCTGTCGCCCATATAGGATACGGTGAATCACCCTCTACCCTATGTTCTAGTATGAATTTGAAAGCATTAGGATAGTCCTATTTGAGATTATCAAAATCCTTGATATTCCCATTCACTAGTTATCTAAAAAATGTAAGCAAGACTTTTTAATCGAGAGTATTCTTGGGTATACCCCAAAGTGTAATTAACTAAATGGATACGTTCTTTTGAGAGTTGCACTTGATCCCAGAATAAAATATAGTTTAAATTCTCCGGTTATGTTTGTTGCTCTTATAGGATTCTCTTTGTCGATATGTTTTCAAGATACTTGGGCCTGATCTGATTTTGGGCATACATTCTTGATCTATCACTTGAAGAATGTCTTATAAAAGTTCTCTACGTTCTATAAATTTGTTTATCAAGTTTCGTCCTAGTCTCCCTTTTCAAGTTCTCTTCTTTCTTTGAGTTAATTGGATGATCCAAAAAAGAATATTATTCGGAAAAGAGAATTATATGAAGACAATCAGACAAGCTGACAACTCCAAGTTTAAAAAGAAACTAAATTGTTGGTCCTAATCTGGTTTGATATTTATTTTTTTGATTTCGAATTTTCATACACTTTGCCCGCATAATGTGCTCTTGAGTAGGTGCAAGAGTTGGAGTCCTAAATCTTTTTAATAATAGTCAAGAACGTATTGTATTACTAAATGGTGGATCCATTAAAAACCCTGATGATCAATTAGTCAGATATGTTCTATGCTTTAACTTCAGTTCTCTTTTTTTCGCCTTCAAAGAATGTGACCAAATTTCTCTTTACCCTTCAAATATGTTCTTACAAATTGTGATCACTTCAGGATTTTTTTTTCATTTGAATTCTAGAAAAAAATTATAAGATGGTGATGAGACCTACAATGCTTTATGGCGCAGAATGTTGGCCTATAAAAGAGAAGCATGAACTAAGTGTTGCTGAGATGAGAATGCTTAGGTGGATGAGTGGTTTTACACTTGGAGATAAAATTTGAAACGAATATATCCCTGAAAGGGTTCGTGTAGCTTCAATGGAAAATAATATTAGAGAGAGTAGTCTTAGATGGTTTGTCACTTTAAACGTCGACCATCTGATGATCTGACTAGGAAAGTAGATATTTTAAATTAAATTTATGTTAAGAAAGGTCGAGGTTGGCCTAAAAGAACTTTGGCATGTGTTAAAAGTGTTCTTAATTTATTAGAATTTAATAAAAATTTGTCTCTCAATAGGAAAAAATGGAGAAAAAGTATTAATGTAGCTGACCT